AATAATAATTTTTGAATTATTAATAATAACAAATATTAATTTTATCTTATGAAACTTGATATGGTTCAACTTCAAATTGATTGAAATTCAATATTACTTACAAATACAAGAAAGTTAATATATAAAAAAAAAAAAAACAAATATTAACCTTCAAACTAAATAAGACTCTTAACTATAAATTTTAAACCGTTATACTAAAAACTTTTTTAGCTAGAGTCTTGCAAAGCAAAAATTTGGTCTTACGTACACGCTATTGTGAAAATGAAAATTATTCAACTTAATTTTAAATAGAACAATTCTTAAGCTACCAAAAAAGAGAATAAAGAATAGAATATGGTATAAATTTTTTGTAAAACAAAAAAGTATAGTTTTTGAGATGACGAGAAAAATCCCTCTTCATCCCCAACTTGGAATATGGAGGGTAAACTTTGAGGACTATTATTAAACCTTAATCACTTTACCTAAAAGTACCAAATAATTGAACAAATCACAAATTTTATGTCGAAAGTAGCAAAAGAATGGCTTGTTCTTGCACCTTAAGTTTATAGTTGAAATGTCAACCAAATTAAAATAGGAAATAGTTATAATCACAATACCAAAATTCCAGACGGTAAGACTAAAATTAAAAGGTTAAATCTCTAATGTGGTCCTTGAATTATTGTATTGACTTTTGATTTGGTTTCTAAACTAAAAAAATTCCTAATTTAATCCCTAAACTATTATACGAATCTCCAATTTGATCCTATTATTTACCAATTTGCCCTAAATTGGTCTTTTTATAAAAAAAAATTGACGTGTTTCGTTATTAACATGATATGTGACTGTTAAGTTACTGTTTTTTATCATTAAGTTATTATTTTTTACCGTTAAATACTAGACACGTCAATTTTTTTTTGTAAAGAAAGATTAATTTAAGGTAAATTGATAAACAATAAGGACCAAATTAGAGATCTATATAATAGTTCAAGGACCAAATTGAAGATTTAACCAATTTAAAAAAAATGCAGAGTTTTGCTCAAAGCAATTACGATCTCCCAAAAATGAAAAAAGAGCAAAGCAAGATAAATGAAAGAGTACCTGCATATTACACTTGACGATATCGAGCGGAGTAACAGCCGCGTGAGTGAAGCCACAAGCCATCAGCCCGCCGACTGCACTTGCGGCGTAAAAAGCCGGTGAGTACATCTCGATCTTCTCCTTCGGCGCCGGAATCACAAACGAAGTCTTCGGCGAATCACCAACTGCTCCACCTCCGATTCTAGATGGTGAGGGTGAAACAGACGGCGATACACGCAGTAAAGGCTGATGATTTGCGTTTGATATGGCGTCCAAATCAAAGAGTGGATTGGTGGTGGACGGAGAGTAGAGGAAGTTTGGGATGGGGAATTGGCGGGAGCAGTCGGAGAACGCCATTTTTTGAAATCTTGTTTTGGTTTGCTATAGTTCTTGAGTTGGGAATTGAATTGAGGGATTTAAGGGCGAAGGAGAAAAATGGAGGGTTCGTGG